GAAAATGGAAGTATAGAGAGGTGAAGAGACTTGCCCAAGGGTACCCAGAAGGGCAGTGGCAGAGAGAAGAAGAGATCTCCTGAATAGGAGATCAATGCTCTATCCACTAGACCACACTACCTCCCCAAATATCCAGAGTTGTTATCATTAATGGCAACAAAGATGTTGGAAGTCCTATTAAACCTCACGCTTCAGGGTTTAAGCCAATCTCTGACTGTTAGAGACAGATGATGGGGCCAGATGCATGGGGGCAGGTTATCCCGCACTGCCTACTAAGGGGCCTTCCTGTAAAACATGTGCTGCTGGCCAGTGACAAAGTCCACAGATGAATCAACCTTGGGCAATACAGTATGGCAATTCCTATGATCCTGTGGTTTTTTTAGAATTTTCATTAGCATTACACCAGAAGGATAGCATCATTTGTCTATATCAGTTTGAAACAATTTATAAGCCATAAATGTGGAGGTTTATTTCTGCATTCTTCCATGAATAGAATATGGATTTCTGCCAGCTCCAACTATGTTTCCACAGCCATATTGGCAAGAAGGGGGTCATCAAAAGGGGGAATGGATTGTTTAGAAAAAGGGTATTTATGCTTAAATAGCCACCATTCAGATGTTCTTATCCAGATACTTACTGAAGCAAAGGCTAATTCAGACAGATTCAGGAAGATTACCTGATGCTCAGCAGCCTCCTCAAAAATGCAGTCACCATGAAGATTTTGGATAAGTACATCTGTTCCATGTGTCCCCCAACACGAACATTGGAATTTAAGAATTAATGTGGGTTTGGATTAATCCACAGAAGATTTTAGTTCTATTGAAAACAGTTAGTTGAGAGAGACTTGTATGATACCCTTCCTACATATGATGCCATTCAAAGGGAAATTCCATCCATGCTGCTCATGACAGCATGCTGAAATTTCTAAAGATTAAAAATTCTTCTTAGCATAAGTAAAGTCTGAAAATTGAGCTGAAATAACAGGATTCTGAGATGATTTTTTTTTAGTACAGTCTTTTTTTATTAAACTGTTGAAGTAACGATAGAAACTGTTTACAAAAGTTATGTGAGGGGTTTCTGCATTTTGTGACAAGTATGGGAAGTGGGAGGTGCTGATGGGGGCTGCTGGTGGGTGCTAAGCACTCACCGTTTTTTTCCCCATGGATGCTCCAGGGCCAGAGCAAGCTCAGCATCAGAAACAAGCTCCCCACAGACCAGGACACACCAACTCAAAGTGGCATCAGACTCTGCTGGAACAACAGATGCAAAACCTGCAGACCTATCTCCACTGCTATAATGATCAGTACCCCGCCACCACACACCTTTCAGAATCCATAAGTCCTACACATGCCTATCAAAACACAGGATATACTTCATCCAGGGCACTAAATGCCCCAATAGCAACTATGTGGGTGAAACCAGACAATCACTACGCTCTCAAATGAACTCACACAAGAAAATGATAAAAGACAAAAACACCATATCACAAAGTGATCGCTCTATACACAGGCACCAACTTTCCAAAGTGCCATGGGGTGCTCAACCCCCAGCTCTGCCCCAGGCTCTGTCCCCCCTCCAGGCTCCACCCCACCTCTTCCTGCCCCCACTCCACCTCTGCCCTGCCTCTTCCCACCCAGTTCCGCCCCCTCCTCAGTGCGCCGCATCCTCGTTCCTCCCTCCCAAACTCCTGCACACTGCGAAACAGCTGTGAGGGAGGGGGATGCACTGATCCATAGGGCCTGCCGGCACTGAGGGGGTGGGGGGAGCTGATAGGGGGCTGCTGGCGGGTGCTCAGCATCCACCATTTTTCCCCATGGGTGATTCAGCCCCAGAGCACCCACAGAGTCAGCACCTATGGCTCTATACCTGACCTATCAGTGCTCATCCACAAAGGAAACCTGCACAACGCTTTCAGAAGATGAGCCTGGGAGCTTAAGTTCACAATTTTACGAGACACTACCCAGTCCATGATTGTTAGAGACACTGGATTTATGGCTCATTACAAACAATCTATAACCCACTAACAATGCCCCCACCCCCAGCTTTCTTTTCTCCACCTCACTTCCTCTCCCTTCTATGACTGGTGGGGTGTTAAAGGCCACTAAACCTTGAATGGTCCCTTGAAATGCGTTAACTAATTATGCTAAACAATCTGTTCCATCTTGTATTTAGCTGTGACACTCTGAGTAGGTTTCCCAGACATGAAGCAGACTCTGTATAAGCTCATAAGCAGAGCTCTGTATAAGCTGTTGTCTCTCACCAACAGAAGTGGATCCAATAAAAGATATTACCTCACTCACCTTGTGTCTCTATTATCCTGGGACCAACATGGCTACAACAACACTGCATACATTGGAACTAGCAAGATACACACCTAACATAACCTCAAACAGCTTGGTCTTGATTGTGCCTCAGTGCTCCACTGTGCTTCTGAGGGCAATCCAAAGCTACAGTATTCTCACAGAGAGATAGAATACTTTGCAGAGCTCTCTGATCTGCAGCAGGAGCACACATGCCCCTACTCTCTTTTAAGGTGTGCAGCAAAAACATCTCCAGGGCCAACCCTAGGTGTTTCACTGTTTTGGCGACCCAGCGCAGAGAATATTTTTGATTTCCACTCTGCTCTCACGAGCCAGCTAAGCAAAAACAAAAAAGAGACCCAAAGCCAGTGACTGAGTGGTGTGGCACCCCCAGAAGACAGCACCCCAAGGCAACTGCACTGCTCACCCACCCCTAAGGCTGGCCCTGCACATCTCCCCAGTCCTTTTAGAGCATCTTTCATGCCCAGAGGAGTAGTTAGGAAGCAATCACTGTGCTTCCCTTCCATGAGTGCAGGGTCTGCAGTTCTGTCTAGCCTTACAAAGGGAGGTAAGGCTCATGGCTCTGATGATGCCTTTGTTGGTATGGCTTCCCACATCCTTTATCTGGCTTGGCTATTTAGGGCCCAATTCTAACACCCTTACTTAAATTGATTAGTCTGCAAATAGTCCGATTGAGGTCAATTGGACTATTCACACAGTAAGGTATTACTGGACTTGAGTAAGGGTACTTTTATTTTAAGCTCTTCCAGGCAGCGAACACGTCTTCTCTGTGGTCTGAGACATCTGGCATACTTTTGGGTGCAAGATAAACAAACAACAACAACCCTGCCAGTGCCTCTAGATCTTGAGCTACCAAACTCATTCTATTTGTGACTTAAGTCAGGTTTTACACCTAGATCTACAGTGGTGTAGGCCGGGCAAATGATTAAACCACTGTACCTCCTAGCCCTAGGCATATGTTAATTGTTAACTTCATTCTGCATCTCCATCTCAACTATCTTTATTTTCAGACCCACATTGGTGGGAACTGTATATTTGATGTGGCTGAAAAACTCTTTAGAAATTTTAGTCCAGGTGTTTAGGGTAGCATGGTGACAGCTGGATACAACAGATCTTGAATGAGACTGTGCTTAGTCCCTGGAGAGAAGGAAAGACAATGCTGGACGTGCAGTTGTTGCAGAGCCTCTTTCCTAATCACACACTGGAATGGTGGCCAACAGCATTCAGGAGGCTATCTGTACCTGAAAGTGAAAATAGCTGAAGTGAAACATGGCGGGACTTACAAGTGTAAAGAGGCTATGAAGACTGGAATAATTTAGCATGGACAGAAGAGAAAGGAGTGTCTTAATTTATAAACTCTAACTAATGAAGGTCATAAGGCCTCTGTTAGATGCTCCTTCTTGCTCTTGTTTTATGGAATAGAGCAAAGGGATGCAGAACTATTAAATTTAAAACTAATAAAAAGAGATACTTGTTTATGAAGCTTATAGTCAGCATGTTAAATTTGTTGCCTCAAAGTTCATGAGATAAATTTAATAGAATATTTTAAAATACCAGATACTTGCATATGATTTGGTAACACTTACTGTAAGCCTAGATAAAAAACAATGATACAATGGATATAAAACCTCAATTTTCCATGCGTTTTCTTATGACCAAGTCAACTACAGGATGTTGGGAATGAATTCCTCACAAACAGAGTTCCACAAATGTCCTGGTGTACTGTGGGGATATTCATTTTTCTTTGAAGCATCTGTCATAGGCCACTTCCAGAATCAGATTACTGGATTTGATGGACCAACAGCTTATGTGTGTCTCTCTTACATTCAAAGACACACAGACTGATTCTCCTCTCTTTTACACTTGTATTACATTGGTGGGAGTCCCCAGACTTCAAAAGGAGTAAATGCTGATTTGCACTGATATGAGAAGATAATTAGGCTCCCACAGTGTTTAATGGCAATCACAAGGGTTAGATTACTTCTCTATACATGCTGTGCAAGGCAAGGTGGGCGGAGCAGGGGAAGGTCCTTACTCCCTTCCCCCACATCCACTATGCACTGTCATGAGAGCTAGGTAGTCTGTAGTCCAAATCAATACAGTAAGTAAACTTCTATGGTGGTATCTCTGGCAGCCAGAGTTACCTAGTGCAGATCCTTTGTCAGTTAGGGTCCAATTCTACAACAGTGACTCACATTAAAGTAATATCTTACTATAGAAGTAGTTCCACTGATCTCAGCAGAACTGATCATGTATTAAGTCATTGCCCAAGATGAGTAAGGGTAGCAGAATTGCACCCTTAATACTCTGAACACATGGTCCTCAAGCCCCTAAAATTATCCTTAAGAGCACTAGTCTGGGAATGAAGAGACCTGAGTTTAAAATTCCCAGCTCTGTCACTACTTTGCTAGATGATCTTAACTTCCCTGTGTCTCAGTTTCCCAAGCTGTAAAATGGGGGTAATGATACTGACCTCCTTTGTAAAGCACTTTGAGATCTATGGATGAAAAGTTCTATATAAGGGCTAGTTATTGATTTATTTGAATACCAGCTGTTTGATCTTTGAGTAATAAAAGTCCATATTAGATGTTTTATCTGTGAACTGGAATGAATTGTAGTTTGAGTTCAAATCAATTATAAATTTATAAAAACTTAAGGTATTTTATTTACTTTATTTAGGGTCAAGTTGTGTTCAGAAATGGAGAGAGAATGGGAACCATCAAATTTACACAGTTTCAAGGTAGGCTACGGATGTTTATTGCCTTTAATTTACACTATGATCATGTCTGATACTGCAAACTTGTGTGACTCAGAGTTGTATTTGCCTCAGAGTAGCCTGAAGACATACAACCATTTAAAAACAAACTACAAGAAATATGAAGTAACAAGGTGCCCAGAAATAATGGACTTCTCTCTTTGAGAAAAATTGTATTGTTATACTCTGCTTGCACTAAGCATCTAATATTCATCAACCAGAGATTTAAAACAAGCAAAGAGCTATTGAAAAGCTATGCTAAAGAGCAGAAATACTGAGTGTTAAATGCAGTCCTGTCTGAAAAATAAGACAGGTTTAGAACTTAGAAAGATGGAACAGTTGTTCTCACCAGTTTTTTTAGTGCAGTTTGTTGTAGCTGTGTTGGTTCTAGGATATTAGAGAGACAAGCTGAATGAGGTAATAATTTGTATTGGACCAACTTTCATCATTTGTCTCTCTCACCAACAGAAGTTGGCCAAGTAAAAGATATTATCTCACTCACCTTGTATCTCAGCTCTTAACTCAGTGCTGGCATTCTCTACAGGCTAACCAGTGAGATTTAGCTACAGCCCTGCACTGGGAGGCCACTTCAGGAGACAATCTCCCCTAGGGAGGCAGAACACTTGTTGGAGATTCTCTGGGACAGATTCACAAAAGAACTTGGGCACCTAGCTGCCACTTTAGGCACTTAAATCCTAGAATCAGGTCCCACTAGGATTCACAAAAACCCCACTTAGCTGCCCCTGTAGGCACCTACAATAGCTCAGCTTCAGCCCCTGAATTTTTGCATAAAAGCTTTTTGTTATAGATTCCAAGGCCAGAAGGGACCATTATGATCATCTAGTTTGAGTTCCTGTATAACACGGGACATAGAACTTCCCCAAAATAATTGCTAAAGCATGTCTTTTTAAAAAAATCCAAATTTGATTTAAAATTTGTCAGTGATAGAGAATCCACCACGACCCTAGGTAAATTGTTCCAAGGGATTCCAAAAGTTCCCTAGACACCTACATTCCTGCCTCTGAGCATGCAAACTGCAGCCCCATGCCAGGGCTCTGGACACCAAAGCCCAAGAGCAGTGCACAAACCAGGGGAACATAGGCATTCCTCTGCCAAACTTACCTGCAGAACCCAATCCAGTAAGTGTGTTTACACCTCATTTACCAGAGCAGGCCCCTATAGTTGAATTCACAAAAAAACAGCCTGAGGAGGTCCTTCTAATTTCTAGCCCAAGGGTTAGGATACTCACCTGGGATATAGGAGCCCCCCGCCCGCACCTGAGGGGGAAAAGGGGGTTTGAAGTGGGACCTGCAACTTCTTAAGTGAGTGCCCTAAGCACTGGGCTATGAGATAGCCTTGTATGTTGCTTCCTTGCTCTCTCCTGTTGAAGCTGTTTCATTGTGGATAATAAATAAAACAGTCATTGGAGCAGGGATCCTGGCTCTCCCACATCCTATGGCACAATCACCAGGCTACAGTGTAATTCTCATCCTTGCTCCGTTTCTCTCTGGCCCAGTGATTCCTTCGTTATTTATCCACAGTGAAACAGCTTCACCAGGAGAGACTGAGGGAGCTACATATCAAAATTATCCCTAACTCTGTGGCTAGGACACTCACCTGAGAGGTGTTAAATTCTCAGCTCAAATTCCTTATTTTCCTCAAGTGGCAGAGGGATTTGACCAGGGTGTCTCCCACATCCCTGAATGATGAGCTAAAAGTTATGAGGAGCCTAGTCATTCTCCGGCTCCTTATCCACCCCCCAGCTGCTTCTTGCTAAAACAGCACAGGTGCTTATGTAACCCACACACCTTCTGGGTGTGGTGTTCTGTCCCATCTAGTGGCACCGAGACCACTTAGAGAAAAAAAGATAAAATGAATCTGCTGTACAGCCTTAGCTAACAGTGAGGTGGCTTTTAGCTCATGTGGTAGAGGCTCATGCTTTAACCTCCAGAGGTCCCCGGTTTGATCCCGCCTGCCACCGACCAAGGTCTGTCGGTGTTACACTTAACTGCAAGAAGGGATTTGAAGCTGAGAATCCAAGCAGAGTTAGGTGCCTGTCTCTGAGAGGAGTGGGACTTAGTTAGTACACACCTGTCAGCTTGGCATCTCCCATTGTCTATTTTAGCCAAAGCATTGTTTAGCAGCCTGGCTTTTGTGATTGCTGTTCTCCACATTCATTGTTCAGGGAGCCTAGGCACTGAATTCAAGTGATTTTCTAGGCACCTAAAAGTTATGCACAACAACGCTGCTCATCATCATACCCAAGTTCCTTTGTGAATCTAGCCCTCAGCGTACAGGCATACATGCTGCTATATGTGAGGCAATGAGTCATTGCTGTGCTGGGCTCCAGCCAATCCCCAAGCCAGGAGCTGGTCTGATGACTCTCCAAACAGGTATATACGTCTCACAGGTGAAACAGCAACTGAGTCTGTCTAATGTCACTTCATGGCTTGGACCCCTCCCTTGCCTCATAGGGGTGACCCACTCCTTAGCCTTGTTTCCACCCCTGCCTTGCTCCCACTCTAGTCTTGTTTCCAGCCCTGCTCCTGCTCTAGCTTCCAGCCCTACTCTTGCTTTTTTGAGAACCTGCCGTTGATTCCACTGCTGATCTTTGGTTCTAGCTCTTGGCCGGGCTGCTACCACACTGACCACTAGACCCAACTGCGACTGCTCCAACCACCAGATCTGATCCTCCACATCTCATTTTCTGACACGATACCCTTCATGGAGTGCAGCATATTCCCCAATGTGACTGGCCAATTCTGCTGTCTCCTTTCAAGCTGAAGGCCTCATGGGGAGAAGCATCTCAGTAGCATAGGGGCTGAAAAACTAGCCCCACCCTCACTCCCTCCTCCCCACCCCATGAGTGCAAAGCTGTGTAAGGGGACTAGCTATGATATGGAACTATATCATCATATTAGAGCTAGCTGCAACACTGTCTATGTATAAATAACAGGTCATACTTTTGATCTATGGTATATAGTGCAATGAATATTCTGATACACCTAGTTTATAGTGAGATTGAGGCTCAGGTTGGCCATGACTGCATAAGATGGTTTTCTGAGGTTCGTGGTGAGATGATATCTGGCAAATCCCTTTCAAGTAATGCTTAGGAAAGAGTGACAGTCTCACATTTAGCAGACTATTCCAAATGTAATTCTGCTGGTCAAAGTGGCAAAGGCTTGTCAAAGGTCCTTCCCCACTCTGAACTCTAGGGTACAGATGTTGGGACCTGCATGAAAGACCCCCTAAGCTTATTCTTACCAGCTTAGGTTAAAAACTTCCTCAAGGTACAAACTTTGCCTTCTCCTTGAACCCTATGCTGCCACCACTACCAAAGCGTGTTAAACAAAGAACAGGAAAAGAGCCTACTTGGAAACGTCTTCCCCCCAAGATATCCCCCCAAGCCCTACACACCCTTTCCTGGGGAAGGCTTGATAAAAATCCTCACCAATTTGTACAGGTGAACACAGACCCAAACCCTTGGATCTTAAGAACAATGAAAAAGCAATCAAGTTCTTAAAAGAAGAATTTTAATTAAAGAAAAAGTAAAAGAATCCCCTCTGTAAAATCAAGATGGTAAATACCTTACAGGGTAATCAGATTCAAAACAGAGAATCCCTCTAGGCAAAACCTTAAGTTACAAAAATATACATTCCATTCAGCACAGCCTATTTTACCAGCCATATAACAAAAGGAAATCCAACGCATTTCTAGCTAGATTACTTGCTAACTTTTTACAGGAGTTCTGATCTGTTCCCAGCAAAACCATCACACAGACAGACAGACTCTTTGTCCCCCCTCTTCCAGCTTTGTCTCCTCATTGGTCATTTTGGTCAGGTGCTAGTGAGGTTATCCTAGCTTCTTAACCCTTTACAGGTGAAAGGGTTTTGCCTCTGGCCAGGAGGGATTTAAAGGTGGTTACCCTTTCCTTTATATTTATGACAGCTTGTCCTTCAAGCAGTAGGTCTATGCAATATAGGCATTAACTCTCATTTCTACCTTTGAATGGGTCTGTTACCCATAATAACCATTAGCACCTTTGCATCAGGGCAACCATTTTTTCAGACTGGTCATGCCATCACACTTTGGACTGACACTGTTTCCACCATGTTAAAACATTTCCACCATGTTAAAACCTGCCAACAAGGATCACCCCCCAGTGACATGACAAAGTTTTTTCCTCAACATTAATGATAAAGAAATGCCGATTTTTTTGCCTCTTGATTTCTGGGTTGACAGTCAAGAGAAAAATAAATATGAAAGAAGCACCAATGGATTTTGATTAGAGTTGGTTAATCATCAGAAGCTTGGAGGGTTCTGTATGAATTATGCTTGGAGGCAGCTGAGCCCCAACTGCATGCAGAAAAGAAGGATATGTGAAGGATCCTCTCCGTATGGAAACCTTAAGAGTATGAAGTCCAAGGAGAAGGAAACGGGTATTTCACCAGCTTGTCTAAACCAGTTCTGAAGAAGTTCTGGAGATATATTTATTTATTTTAATAAAACTGTTTTATCTTAAGAATTCCTGGATTTTTAAAGGTTTCAGAGTAGCAGCCGTGTTAGTCGGTATCTGCAAAAATAACAGGAGTACTTGTGGTACCTTAGAGACTAACGTTTATTAGAGCATAAGCTTTCATGGGCTACAGCCCACTTTATCGGATGCATAGAATGGAACATCTCATATATGTTCCATTCTATGCATACAATGAAGTGGGCTGTAGCCCATGAAAGCTTATGCTCTAATAAATGTGTTAGTCTCTAAGGTGCCATAAGTACTCCTGTTCTTTTTGTGGATTTTTAAAGGTAAACTTAAGCAATTTCCTTCCTTTTTCACCATCAATATATTTAATATGCAACAGTTCTGTAGTATACTCAGATGCTCTGTATTCAAATTCTCTGTAGCCAGTCAGGACCCAGGAGTCAAAGGTGACCATTTTACAATTCTTGGCAAGCACTAGATTTCTGTCTCAGAGATCATTCAA